GGAGTCGGGCGCCGGGCGGGACGGGGACGCTTTGCCTTCTGGGGGCTCCGCCTCGGCGGGGCCGCTGTTGTTCTCAGCTCTGAGCAGCCCAGGCTTCGAGTCCTCTCAGCAAGTTTTCTCTTTGTGACCTTTCCGATTGTTGTCCCAACCCGCAATTGTTTACGTTTCTTGTTCGCTTCCAAGCGTGCTTAGTACCTGTAACAGCAGTGCAGCTGTTTTGTGTCGCCAAAGGAGCTGACTGCGACCGTGCTGGGGACTTGGGGGTCTAAGTGCAGTTCTAACCACATAGGTGTAGGTGAGCGCTGAGCGCCTGTTATCAGGCAGAGGGTGTCTGAGAGGCCCCCAGCGCCTGCCTTTTGTCGGTGGCCTTGGACGTGTTTCTCCGCTGCTAGAGGAGATGACTGAGCAGAGCAGCCTGGCAGGTGGGCCTGGCTGTTTGGGGTCCCCCGCCCCGCACTTCCGGAGGACAGTTTGGGAATTCACCAGCTCTTCCCTGGGTGGCTGTACGGGCGTGGGGGGGGGTGTCCATTTCTCACTGGGACACTTGCAGGAGGCCTGAGTTCTGCACCTGTGTAGCTGTGTACTGCCCTGCTGTGCCCTTATCCTTGGAGAAGACATTGCTTACAGGGCTGAGGCCCCTCTTGCCGTAGATATTCTGTGCATAGATTTTTTTTTTTTTAAATCAGTGTCAGTGTTAGACTTGACCTCAAATCTGTGTTGTGGGCCCTGTGCTATATAGACTTTTTGCTCACTGTCATCCACTGAGGGACAACTTGTGGGTATTGTTAGATGAAAACTTTGAGGTCTCACCACAGACAGCATCAAGCCAATCCAAACCGCCCCCCTTGTTAAAGTCGGTCCAAACTGGCCTCAAACTCACTGTGTGGCTCAGCCTGGCCTCAGACTTGCTTCAACCCTCCTGCCTCAGCGTCCCAAGTTCTAGGATTACAAGTATGCACCACCATGTCTGGCAAGCCCACAGTTTTTTTTGGGGGGGGGATACCGGGAATTGAACTCAGGACCTTCCTTGTGCTTGTAAGACAGGCGGCAGTACTATTAAGCTGAATCCCTGGCCCAAGCCTACACTTTTTAAAAGTATTCTTTGGTGGAAGGGAAACATTAGAAACCCACAGTGTGTTGAAGATCTGTAGGGCAAAATTATGAAATTAAAGAAACTTTAAAGGACTTTTGGAGCGCCCCCTCCCCCCTTTTTTTGTTTTTTTTGAGACATGGTCTCACTATGTAGTTGATACGGACCTGAAACTCACTACGTAGCCCAGGCTGGTCTTGAACTCACAGCAATCCTCCTGCCTCGGCCTCCGGAGTGCTGGGATTACAGGTGTGCGCCACCATACCCGGCTGGAGCCGTTTTAATGTGTTTGGAGGCAGACTATCCCAGAGCTTCATCTGGGAGTGGCAGTCCCTAAATGGGTCTCAGCTGAAGTCCTGCAGAAGAGTCCCCAGGAGCACAGCTAAGGCCCAAGGTTCAGGATGATGTGGTTTGGAGGTGTGTCTTCAGTCCTGCCTCTCACTGGAGCAGCGAGTGCAGCAACAGGGTGTCTAAGTGACCTGCACGGAAACTGCAGCATACTCGTGCTGCCATACCTCACCTCACTTTCTGAAACATTTGGGTGACCGGGCCTGTTTCATCTGAATGAATCTTTCCTCCTCTGCAACGCTCACCCAGAGTGGGCACCCAGCTCTGAAATTGTGCCCTTGATTTCAAAAAGTGTATCTCTTCACACGGAGTAGTGTGTCCTTCTGTACTTAATTGACCCACCTGAAACTGCAGGAAAGCACTAAAGAGTGAGTTGTGGTGTAGTGGTTCAGTTTGTCCTGACAAAAGAGCTTTTATGTGTGGGGGGGAGTGGGGCGTCATGTGATTTCCAAAGTGAATGAGCCTGAAAGTTCATTACAAATTAGCACATAGGATCTAAGCTGCAGGGCCGGGGATTTAGCTCAGTGGTGCTGCCAACTGCCTTGCAAGCACAAGGTCCTGAGTTTGATCCCCTCTACCAAAAAAAAAAAAAAAAAAAAGAATAATTTGCTTAGGATCTAAGCTGCAGCCCCAAAGTAAGGACACCAGAGTCCTATTCAATGCTGCCCTTGAGAAGCACAGGGCGGTTTCTATCTCCAGTTTATGGCTTTTTGTGTCCCGTGTGGTGGCACTGTAAGGAAATGGTCATTGTTTCCTTCTCACTTGTCTTCCATGAGCAAGTGGGACCGTCCAGCTTGCTACTTGGCTGAGGAACCCTGTTTCCCAATGTTTATGACCCACCCTGTTCCTTGCCTCTTCCTTCCCGGCCTCTTGCTGACTCACACTGGCCTGTAATCAAGAGGCTGGGGTGGACGCAGCCCGAGGTGTGTCTCTTGGAGCTCACACAAGAACACTTATCAAAATGAAGATCTGGGAAGGGAGGCCCTGCCTGAGGCCACTCTGTCAGAATGATGAGGAGGGCACCCTTTCTTGGAGGTAACTTTGGAAGAAGGCCAGGACATTGGTGTGCCAGGCATATCCTGTGCCTCCTCTTGTAAAAGAGGCTTTCAGGGCCTGGAGAGGCTCAGGGTAAGGTTAGTGAAAAACCCCTATTGAAGAGTGGCTGCGCTTGACTTATACTCCCTCTGTAGCTACTTCTCCTATCCTTTCAGATTAAAATAAAATTGCTTTTGTGTGTGTTTTAGTTTTTTAAAAATTATTATTATTATTATTTTTGTACTGGGGATTGAACTCAGGACCTTGTGCTTTCAACACAGGTACAGTGCCACTGAGCTACATCCCCAGCCCTTTTTTTTTGGGTTTTTTGAGACAGGGTCTCACTATGTAGTTCACACTGCTCTGGAACTGTGTAGCCCAGGCTGGTTTCCAGCTGTCAGTAATCTTCCTGCCTCAGCCTTCGGAGTGCTGGGATTATAGGTGTGCAGGCAGGAGAACCATTGAGCTAAATCCCCAGCCCAAATTTTTATCTTTTTTGTTGTTTGTTTGTTTCTTTGGTTTTTTTGAGACAGGGTCTCACTATATAGTTGAGACTGACCTGGAAGTCACTGTGTAGCCCAGGCTGGTCTCGAACTCATAGTGATCCTCCTACCTCATCCTCCGGAGTGCTGGGATTACACGCATGTGCCACCACGCCTGGTTTACTTATCTTTTTGATACCGGAGATTGAACTTGGACCTTGCATGAAGCAGGAGCAGGGGCAGGAAGAACCACTGAGCTAAATCCCTGGCCCTGGGCTGTTATTTTAAAAATAAATTATAAAATGACATTATAATTTTCCACAGTTTTTTTTTTTTTTTTTTTTTTTTTTTCCTTTTTGGTACCAAGGATCGAACTGTGGTCCTTGTGCTTGCGAGGCAGGTGGTGGCACCACTGAGCTAAATCCCTGGCCCCTATGACATTATAACTTTATAATTTTAATTACTTGTTATTTTCTGAGGTGACCCTTTACCCTTAAATTCCTTTTCAGTTCGTTTTGACAGTCTCTCTTTGTAGTTCAGGCTGGCCTTGAATGCTCTGCAGCCCAGGTGTGGCCATCCACTTGCCTCAGCCTCTTGACTGCTGGGATTGCAGGACTCAGAGCACCTGGTCCATGTGTGCGATCAGGGGTTTGTGGCACTGGCATCCCCCACTGTGTTGCTCCTGGCCTGTGAGCTGTCTTTCACTGCCTGACCCTCTGATGTCTTTGCTTTCCCTGCAGGCTGTGCTCAGAAAAACAGCACTTCATGTGAAGAGTGCCTGAAGAATGTCTCTGTAAGTAACTTAGATCTGAGTGCTTTTTCTGAGTCCAGGGAGCTTGTGTGTGTGGGAAAGTTCTTGGTGTTGGGGTTTACTGGGCCTTTTCCCGATGGTTGTTAAACATGATGCAGCTTCTCTTGGGGGTATTAAACCTTCTAACCAAAACTGCAAGTACCCCAAGCACAGTATGAGTGGGTGATCTTACCCTGTGGCGGGTGGTCAGGGAGCCAGAAGTATACAGGCTGGGCCTTCCTTGAGTTGGTTGGGAAGCAGTAGGTGTGCTTGCATGTGATGACCAGTGCGGAGAGACAGACAGGCATTGGTCTGAGAAACTTCTGACCTGAGACCAGGCCATCCCGTGGGGTCGAAGACCTCAGAGACTTGGGCTGGGCTGCAACTCCATTTTACAGCATTGCTGTACCCCAAAGATATGGAAAGAAGAGAAGGAACCTTGCTTTCCCTGGCTGTTGGAGCGTGGGGGAGCTTCTGTGGTCTTCACATCTGAATGGGGACAGGCAGGCCTCGAGGCTATCTGGTCCCCTGGGAAGACTCACTTGCCTTAAATGCCTGCATGCCCTTGAGCCAGAAGGTCACCATTCTGAGGCAAGTTCCCTAACACCCCACTTAAGGGGCCCCTGCTAGGTGAATGTCTGGGGATCTGGGTCACCACAAACGGTGTCCCAGCATAGATCTCAGATCTCGAAATAGTGTGGGAACATCTTTGTTCAGGGCCCTCGGGCTGCTCCACATTGTGCTTGGCCTCTCAACCCAGGGAAAACTGCAGGGTTGAGATGAATTACATGGTCATTTGGGTGTTGTCCTTTCTCCCTCTCCCTCTTTTTTTTTTTTTTGTACCAGGGATGAAACTCAGGACCTTGAGTTTACGGGGCAGGCACAGTGCCACTGAGCTAAATCCCTGGCCCAATTTTCTCAACTGCATTTCTTTGAGTCCTAGATTTTCCTATTTGAAGTTTTTTCAACCATAATAGGAGCTTCCTGTGTTTGAGTTTATATGCATGCGTGTTGTGTTTTCATGGCCCTGGGGTGGGGTGGGGTGACAGTCCCTGGAGGAACTGCCCAGGTCACAGTGGGTGGGGCTATCCCAGGAGCACCCCAGACCTCACCCCATGCTGAACCCCCCAGAGCAAGTCAGAAAGGTCCAGCAGAGGACCGGCCTGGACCACACAGGCTTCCCAAAGGGTGTGCATGTGCCTGTACACCCAGGACTCACAGGCTAGAGGTGAGGCTGTGACTGCAGCACATGCTCTGGGTGCTTGCCAAACTTCAGCATCAACCACACAGGGGGATCACAGGAGTTGAGCTCAGCCTGGGCAACTTAGTGAGACCCTGTTGTAGAATTTCAGAAAAGTGGGGTAAGGTGGGCTGGGAATTTAGCTCAGTGGTTCCAGCGTCTGCCTCACAAGCACAAGGAGCCGAGTTTGATCCCCGGTACCCCGCCCAAGAAAAAGAAAGAAAAGTGGGGTAAGGAGTGGGGATATGTAGCTCAGTTAAATGAAGGCTGGGATTCAATCCCCAGTGCCACCGCACAGGAGCAGGCGATCGCCCACACTGAAGGTGAACAGTGAAGACGTCTCCGGCTTGAGCTGTTGGAGATGGAGGACTAGCTTCATATTCCTGATCCAGGACAGCCGCCAGTGGGGAAGGTGTCCCTCGGGCAGAACGGGTGGGTTTGCTCCTGTCCAGAAGCACAGCTTCTGAACCTTTGTCACCACGAGTGGGGACTGCACACCTCTCCCAGGGAAAGAAAGCCCAGGGTGTACTTACGATAGACCGGAGACCAAGAAAACATGACTTTGCAGTTCTGTTCCTAATCCAGTGACACTATCAGTCTGGCCACGACTGGCAAGTCCAGTGCTGAGACTGCAGCGCCCTGGCCGCCTCCCGTGTGTCACCTACTGCCACACTTGGTGCCCATTGTGCACTGCTCTGGTGCGGGGCAGGCCCTGCTCTGGGATCTGACATGTGCTGGGCCAACGGCACTCAGCCTCCCCTAACATTCGGGGTTAGACAAGCAGCCACCAGGCGTCTCCTGCTCTTGAGTTTGTCTCTCAGGCTGTGATGACTTAGTGTGGGTGTGAAGGTGAGGGCAGAACACGTGGGGCCTCAGTCCATTCAGTGAACACTTGGCGTGGGCCAGGCTGTGTCCTGTGTCCCGAAGGACACCATGTGTGGGCTGTGCTAGGTGGTGGTACTCCTGATGAAGAGTGAGCCGCAGGATGGTCAGGGGAGGCAGGAGGTGAGGAGGCTGCTGCGGAGGTGGGGGCAGCTTTCTGCACTAGCATGGAAACCCACGGGGCTGGGGCTGGGGCTGGGGCTGAGCAGGTCATGGGAGCCGTCTGAGTAACGAGGCCACAGAGTGAGACCAGAAGGCCTAGAAGGGCTGCTGAGATCACAGGCAGGGGAAGCTGTACGAGGTGGCCAGGCTGGTTCCCAGGCTGACACACTGGTCCGACATCGTTCCCTCCCAGTGTCTGTGGTGCAACACCAACAAGGTGTGCTTGGACTACCCGGTCAGAAAGATCCTGCCACCTGCCTCTCTCTGCCAGCTGAGTTCCGCACGTTGGGGGATTTGCTGGGGTAAGTCATCGTTTTCATTTACTTTTTGCAAAATCAATGCTTTTTTGAAAATTCTGGTGTGTGCTCAGCATGCATGCCAGGAAGTATGCTCAAGTAGCTGAGCCACACCCGTAGAGAAGAAAGTCCGGCGCCAGGATGCCTGGGTCTGGGTCTGGGTCTGGGCAGGCAGCCAGGTCCCTAGGAGTCTGTAGGACTCCTTCATGGACCTGGGCTCGGTGCTGGGGAGGTGGAGGGCAAGGGAAGCCTCTGCAGTGTATACTGCATCTTCCTGTGCTGCTTGAAGCCACCGTGGGTTCCCCTGGGACTCCGCATTCTTGGCTAGAAGCCCCTTCTCCCAGGACTTGGTCCCATCTTTCTTCTGCATCTCTCTGCTTGTGCTTGATGAGGGAAATTAGTTTCCTGGTTTGCCTTTTAAGTCTGTGGTATGTCTTGCTACTTGGGACTCATTTTTCTGCATTGAATTTTTTTGATCTTTTCTTTTGTAGCTTCAGATTTTGGGATCCCAGAGGCCTCCTTCAGCTCATGAATTCAGGAGCCAGAATTTTCTTAAAGCACTTTGATTTGTGTGTGTTTGCAGCTTGGATCCCTCAGCAGTCTGACCTTTACTTCACTCACCTATCTTCTGCCTTGGGGGTGGCAAGCCTTTTGGAGACTGAGGGCCCAAACTGCAAACTGGAACCCACTTACTTATTGCAGAATGCCAACCCTGCCATTACCCAGAGTAGCTAATGCTGGGCTGCTGGGGTGACAGGGCTGTGCGTGCCCACTGTGGTACGCGTGCTGTAGGTTTGCTGCCACTCTTGATTCCTAGCTCAGTGGCGCCACGTCTGCCTCACAAGCGCAGGGTCCTGAGTTTGATCCCCGCTACCAAAAAAGAAGTTGCTGTGGCGTTGCAATTGTGTGTGCCTGTGTGTGCACAGTACCTGGCTGCTCCTAGCCCTCGCTGCCACTACCCAGTCTTTCCTTCCCCCTGTTGCTTCAGGCAGTGCGTCATTTCAGTGCAGTGCCCACTCCCGTCTCCGTCTCCGTGTCTGGACTGCAGTGTGAGCCGCGGTGCTCAGCAGGTTGTCTCATACGTGCTCAGGGCTGCGTTCCTGTCTGGCCACAGTGCCCACGCACTGACCGCTCCTCAGTACACCCAGTGCTGCCTGTTCCTGACCCTCACATGGAGGCCATGGGTCCCTGCTGTGTCTGCTGCCTCCTCACGGAGCCTGGCACCCTGGTGGGGTCCCTGCATGTTGTAGGAGTGGCCATCCCCATGGTACTCCCAGGCATGTGGGACTTCTGGCTGGCGTATGTTCCTGCCAGCACCTGTGGTAACCTGCTGGATGTGTGGCAGTCCTCGAGGTGCTGACGCATTTCCTTGAGGACTGGGGATGTCGCAGCTTTTCGGGTAGGGGTGTTCTTGATATTCTCTTGGGAGTTGAGATTCCCACCTCAAGTCAAGGGAGGAGAAACACATGACACTCAGCCGGGGCAGATGAGACTGGTGGCACGTGTAGGTGCCATGTAGGGGTGCGGGAAACAGCCCTCGTCTGTGGGTGTCCAAGTCTCCTAGGGCTGCCTGGGTGCTGAAGTCCATCACAGGGACTGAACCTGCGCTATGCCTGGTCCTGGGTTGGTGTCGTTCAGGGTCCCATCCTGGGGCAGAGTGGCAGCTGTGGATGGGCCACTCGGCCTGCTGTTCTGCAGGGGTTGAGGCCACACGTGATGCTGACTTAAGGCCCACTTCATAGACACCTACTTATTTATTCCTCAGATCTTCAGAGTGACCTTGTATGCGCTTAGGCAAAACTGCTGTGGATTCTGAGTTTGCTTGTTTGTGCTTACAAGGCAGACACCACTGAGCTAAATCCCCAGCCCTCCTGTGGATTCTTTTTGTTTTTTTGTTCGTGTTTTTGTTTTTTGAGACAGGGTCTCACTGTGTAGTTGAGACTGACCTAACACTCACTGTGTAGGTCTGGTCTCAAACTCACAGTGATCCTTCTGCCTCAGCCTCCTGAGTGCTAAGATTACAGACACGTGCCACTATGCCCAGCAATAGGGTTGGTACATCTTATTTATTTATTTATTTATTTTTGGTACTGGGGATTGAACTCAGGACCTTGCGCTTGCAAGGCAGGCGGCGGAACCTGTGGATTCTTAATTGCAACAACTTTACCTGTTCATTTGGAGAAAAATGAGATCTCTGCAGTACTGATCTTTTGTCCTAAAACAGGGTGTCTCCTCCGTCCAGGTCATCTTTACGGCCTTTGAGAGAAGGTCATGGTTTCACCCTGTGGGATTAGCAATAAGGAGCCTGCAGATTTGCTTCACATTGTGAGTTTGTTATTTACAACTGGCTTTGGTGACTCATTAGTTTGAAAGTAGGTAAGTGTTAGAGCCAGCTACTTCACTAAGCTCACGGGTTTTGTTGCTGTTGTTTTCGTTTTCCCCAGTACAGGGAATAGAACTCAGGACCTTGTGCTTTTGAGGCAGGCATGGTGCCACAGAGCTAAATCCCCGGCCCTGCTCATTGGTTTCTTTAACTTAGTTTTTTGGTTTTTGGTTTTTCTTTTTAAGATTTCTTAGTCAGAAACTCTTACCATGTGCTGACTTCGGTTTCCTTTCTAATTATGCACATTACTGCTACTTTTTGTAGTTCTGCGCACACTGACTAGGTCATAGGAGGACAGGACATGTGATTAAAGCTGAAAGGCGTTGAAGCAGATGTAACACTTGACCTCGGCGGCCTTTTTTTTTTTTTTTTTTTTTTTTTTT